AGGGAAGCCTCCAGGACGAGGCAAAACTTGGAAACGAAGAATCATGTCCCGTCCCTCCCGACCTCCCGTTTGGAGATCGCTGGTCTTCCCCCCTTTCCTTTCTCTCTTCGTCCTCCTCCTCTGTCGACCTCCGCTCTCATCTTTCTCCTTCTCCTCCCTCGATGGTATGTTAGATTTATATGTAGCCGATTTCGTCGCCAGGAATGCTGGAATCGATCTAAAGAACGCTGGGGTATACGCCAGAAGCTTCGAGCTTTAATGGGTGATTGCCGAGTGCCAGATGCACCAGGAGAGCGACGTCCAGGCAATAGGGCAGGCGGCAGTGGATGGGGGCGACGCTGATCAGCATCCTTACAGTCAATCCGCATGGTAAGGATGGGCGACCTTCCCAAGGGTACCCTTGCATCCTTGCCCCTTCGGCCCATCCTTAGCGACGTTCGCTGGCCAGCCTCTTTCGGAGACGTTGGCGTTGCCCTCCAAGGCCCTTGCATACTTACCGCGCATCCTGATGATACGGGTTGACTGTAGGGCAGGTGGCAGTGGATGAGCGGCGCTGATCAGCATCCTTAAGATGCACGCGCAACCTAAGATGATGGCCGAGTGTTGGTTGGAGATCGCGCAGTTCTTGAGCACCAGCCAGCCTGGTGCTGACTTCAATGGGCGGCCTGAGAGCACGGTGCAGCAAGCCAAGCATGAGACCGACCATGCCACACTGGATCTCACCCGCATCCAGACGTTTCTTGGACGACATCGACGAAGAGATACAGTCAACCCGAATGGTAAGGCTAAGCAACCTTCCCAAGGGTACCCTTGCATCCTTGCCTCCTCTGTCCATCCTTGGCCACTTCTACTGGCCGCGCCCCGCTCGAAAAGCTTCGAAATGGGCGTCCAAGGCCCTTGCATCCTTACCCCTCATCCGTATTATACGGGTTGACTGCGCCACACTGGACCTTACCCACATCCAGATTTTATTGGACGGCACCGACGAGGACATTGAGTTGGCCGACAAGGGCCAGGAGAAGGGCTCGAATACTGCATAGAACCGGTGGTGCCACAGCAGCCAGTGAAGGAGTTCGACCTCTACATCGCACGACGACGGTGCGAAGCATGCAGGCTCCAGCGGCTGCAAATTTGCGCTTCGTCAGCCGACCCGGTCACCATTGACAATCAGGAGGTGGAGTTATGTCGGAAGTTGCTGGGTGCGAAGTCAGTTGTATTTTCAGCATGGCCCCCTGACAACAGCAGTTGCCAAAGATCATACCCATATACGATTCGCGAAGTGTCGCAAAGTGGCCTGGAAGTTCACCCATAGCATCAGTTAGCCTGGACAACTTCCACCCGAGGCATGCGGCCTTACTGGATGATGACGGACTCAGCGTGCTTGCGTCTGTTTGGCAGGCTTCGGAGCCACTGGGAGTATTACCATGGCAGTTTTTTGATCCAGATGCCTCCCCTAGGCAGACTGACTGGATGGTGGCAACATAGGGATAATTCTATATGCAGGCATGTGTCGCCAATCGCAGCGAGCGAGACGTCTAGTAGTTCAGCACATGGTTACAGCGCTGGACAGGCAACCTTGGCATCCGCCACTGACTGCACATGGGTACAAGCCATTCGTTCCGAGTCAGGCCAGGCCTGCCGCAAGCATGGTGTTGCATGCGTTGCAAATGGGTCAACATTTGACGAAACGATATCCTTCGACGTTCTACGGATGAAGCTACTGCGACATGGTGCCCTAGCGTGCTGGCTGAAGCTACTTGTCATTACATAGCTGCGCCCACGCATCATTCGTCTCAGAACAAATCATGCTGTACAATGCTGGCTCGCTTTCGCTCGGTCTCCCAGCTGGTGATGCGCACGCTGACAGAGCAGTCAAGGCGAATGCAGTGGACGCGTTCGACACCTTTGTACCAAGGGCGCCGACAGTCAACGTCCAAAACTACATAGATGGCAGAGGCGGTCACAACTCGCAATCGGGTTAGGACATAGCGGAAGGCGCAGCAGCGGATGGTTTCAGGCACTTCTTGGTCGCAAGCAGGCCATCAATGCTTCCACCGGGCAGTATGATGTGTGCGACAAGTTGGGAGCTCAGTGGCAGCGTTGTCAAGGCCAGTTTCTCGTACCTCGGAATAGATGAAGCTGCTGGAGCCACCAACCCGAGTAAAGCAGCAATCCAGATTCGCGACCGTGAGAAGAAGGACCCCGAAACGTAGGAGCCATGAGGGAGTGTTTAAAGGGCCCCCAGGAGGCCCTGTGGGTAAGTTTTGAACGGTGGCAGTAGCTCTCGGCCCGCGCTGGCACCCGCCATCCAACGGTGACGCATCGCCTGGATTGCTGTCACCGCCCAGACAATGCCGTCATCCAGACAGGTGAGCTGGCGCATGTTCGGATTTTTTGGAAGCCTGACAATGGCAAACCGTGAAACTGGATCAGGGGAGCCATTTCTCGAGATGTAGCGCGCCTGGCCCGCGCGGGCTGCAGCTTCACCAGGCCCGTCCAACTGGTGGGCCACAGCGGTTCCGAGGAGGACATAGCGCAGACCCCACCGACGCTTCTGCTTGATCTGAGGGAGTTCGAAGTCCAACGCCAGCGAGAGGTCGACCCGGCTCAAAGTCTGGGATATCACCCAGGCCCCATGGCGTCTCTCCGTTTACTTGGGAATGCTGTTGCCCCGAAAGACAAGAGGCTTAGTCGCTTCCGCACGTACCAAGTCAAGAGCTGCAGCTGCTTCGGATTGTGGACCACAGGTCGAGCCGAGCAGGCGGATGTCTTGTGACGTTTTGTGTGTGGGTGTGGTGAACACGGGACGCAGTCCATCACAGACCCTACGGCTGCCAGCTTGCGCAAGTAGTAGAAATGGGGGCCGCCGCAAAGGTCCCACCCGAGTTTCTGCAGGCCGAGCTAAAAAAAACAAGAGGGCATAGTTTTCACACTGGGGGCTTCGAGTAGCCAGAAGTGTGATTTGCCTAGCCCGTGGATCTCCAACGAGGTCAACGTTCTGGACAGGGAGGGAAAACCGATTGACCTAGACCCAGGGCAGGTTGCCAGTTTGACCAGCAGATAACCTCCCAGGCTGCCCTACAATGGGTTTGGCAGCTAGCTTTACCTTAGGCCGCTCGGTGGGGCGGCCTGGTCCATCAGATGAAGGCGACGACCCCGTCGCGTTCATTCGACCCTGCCCCAGAGACGCCAGCCATGGCCGAGCACGTAGGCATAGCTGAATCCGGTCAGATTGCGAGCACGCCGGCACGGCTAGCATCAGATTGCAAGGCAGCCATCAGACTTGCCCAGCAGGACATCGCTCGGCAGCCAGCCGTTTCGAATAAGTGCGCTTGCGTCGGGTTTTTCGCCCCCGCCTCATCATCAAGTTTGTTTATCACGACAAACCTCATCGATCCGAAGAAGTGATCGGAAGAAGTGATCGGACAGTATCGTCTGTTCGCCATGACAAATGCCGCAGTCGACTGTCAGGCACGGGCTGCCGCGGCCATGCACCCGGCCGCGGGCCCATGGTGTAAATTTCGTTGCCACCAGAGGACAGAGCTTCATGCAGTTAGCTGCACACTTCCTGGCAGTGTTCCCACGCGAGGTAAGACCGAAGAGGCCCATCCGCTTCCGGGCAGGCCGCTTCAGGCGGCAGCCCAGCTGGCACTCCTGGAAGCAAGGTGAGTTAGGGCTTCAGTACAACAGGTGCCTGGTGGTGGCGGAAGGATCGCCAGACGCGGAACTTTCCAACGGATGTAATTTGCCCTAAGTTTCCTCAGTATGTTGCTCTCGAACTCTCTCGGACATTCCCTCGTAGCCGTGGCGGGCTTGGCTCGAGAGTGGTGGTGATCCTTTTGTGCGCAATGCTCGAAAGCATATCGTTATTCGTCTGAAGTGTAGAGGGCGGTTCCAATCTCGATTTGAAAAGGTAAGCCTCCCTTGTGAGCCCCACTTGTCGTAAATGCAAAAAGGTCTTTGGGATGGTGTGTCAAGGCAGGTGTCCCTTTTCGGCGGGTGCAAGCGTTGCTGGATAAGGCCATCCCCCATTCACGGCTGCGCTATGACCCGCCGGACCCCACAGGGACTTCAGCCCGCACGGTTGTGAGGACGAGTTTTTCGACTTCAGGGGCGCCCCCGTTCTACGAGCAGAGAATGAAAGCTCTGGTTGTTTGAATCCGGGTGAAGGGGAGCAGCCGAAATGCTCACTCCAGAAGATAAGTTTGCCGGTCTTCTTGGGGCCTCTTCCGTGGTTCATTCCCCCCCACCCTTGGTTCGTACTTCAGTTAGCGCTGAGATTTTTTGTGCTATCCATTTCATTTCGGTTCTTCTCCTCCTCCTCCTCTTCCTCCTCCTCCTCGTATTGATGTATCTTCCTTTTCCTCCCGCTGTTCCTCCTCTACTTCCTCCTCCTCCTCCTCCTCCTCCTCCTCCTCCTCCTCCTCCTCCTCCTCCTCCTCCTCCTCCTCCTCGTCCTCCTCATCACCCCATCCGTTTTCCTTGGAATCGCTCTTCCGTGTGACAAGATGTGTCGATACGGCGGTCCAGTCGGTTCTCCCTTGATTTCGCTGTCAATTACCAAAGTCGCTCCTGAAAGGGTTTCGCATTCGAGTGTGGACATTTCTTCCCCGGCGGGCGGCGGCGGAAGCAACACGGGGGCGTATCCCGGGCAAACGCCAGAGACAGGCCAGCGGAATGTGGCCGAAGCAGAAGATGTGCCACAACGGAGTACCGTGCATCTAAATGTTCCACGCGTGGATCCGTCCACGGGCTCTTCCATCGCCACGATCGGAATTGGTACGGAAATATCGGGGACAAAAACAAGCAGCAGTTCTCTTCCCATGTCGAGAACAAAACTCACTGCCAGTGTCGCTGCGGACGCATGCCCAGCAGCGGCCGCTGCTGGTTTTGGACAGTGACTGATGTTGGGCATAGTTTACGCTCCCGCCTCGGGCGTGCCAAACGCGTGCTTCCAGCTTCCTAGTGCGCCCAGCGCTCCCTTCCAGCGGACCGGGGAGGCGCTCAACGAGGTGTGCAGGAGGGTGGCGATCGAGGCGGTGGACGAGGAGGAGTCGAAGGACGACGCGCCGGCGGGAAGGGGAGACGAGAAGGAGGAGGAGGAGGAGGAGGAGGAGGAGGAGGAGGAGAACGAGGAGGCCGTGTGCCCTTGGATTGCGGATGGCCACTTTCCCCCGCACCCCTTACTCCCCCTCCATCCACGGTCGGCACGTCCCATTAGAAATCACCTTTCCAGCAGGTGCCCCGCAGAAAGTTCGGATCCCCCGAGGGCTCTCCAGGGGCCCACGGGATCCCTGGGGGATCTTGGGAACCTGAGGATCGACGCAGGCATCCCGACATGTCATGCGGGGGGGTCCAGGAGGGCTGTTGCCTTCTCGGAGCGAAGGAGTTGCCATCCTCTTCCTCGGCGGAAGGCGTCGGAAGGTGGGCGGAAGGCTGGCGGAAGGCGGCGGAAGCAAAAGATGCGCCCCAAAGCGATGACAACAGTTTGGGGTTCAGGACTTCCAGAATCCGCAATCTGATTACGTGTGCTCTCGATGTGCCGACAGTACATCGCACGCGCGTGCGTGTCCCATTCGGGATCCGCCCTTTGTCGATGGGGGGAGCCGGAGGAAGTCGCGCCGGCGGGCTCTGCTTGACCAAGCGGGCCCAGCGTGCGCTGGTTTCGTCGAGCATCAACCCATCGCTCGGGCTCGTGGAAGAGCACGGATCAAAGACCAGGGTTTGCTGAATTGCCTTGGGCGGCTGCTGGACTCACAGGAAAATCTACCGATACCGATGGCGCTGCTCATGTTGGAGAGCTCTGGCCGGCACGGCTAGATATTCTTTAAAGTTATTTAACAGCGAAGACTGATAGGTTTCTAATGGGGCCAAAAGAGAGCATCTGATGACTCCCCAGGGGAATTGGGCGGGAGCCGGACACGCGAGGGCCGGGCTCGTTTTAAGCAAACAGTCGCACACTTCGTGCCCTTCGACCTCCCAGAACTCCACTCCCGGGCCACATTTTGAATGCCCGGGGCCAACTGTAGGCCACTTCGTGCTCTTCGACTTCCCAGAACTCCATTCCCGGGCCACATTTTGGATGCCCGGAGCCAACTGTAGGCCAATTCGTGTTCTTCGACTTCCCAGAACTCTTTTCCCGGGCAACATTTTGGATGCCCGGAGCCAACTGTAGGCCACTTCGTGTTCTTCCATTTCCCAGAACACGAGTCCCGGGCTGCATTTTGAATGCCTGGAGCCAACTGTAGGTCACTTCGTGCTCTTCCACTTCCCAGAACTGACACTCCCAGGCCACATTTTGAATGCCCGGAGCCAACTGTACGCCACTTCGTGCTCTTCCATTTCCCAGACTTCCAAGACTCATCATCTTCATCATCATCATCGTCCCCGTAGCCTTCTTGGCTACAGCCCTGGTTTCGAAGATTTCCTTTCAAAGGAACTGCGCAGCGCCTACTGCGCACCTTAATGCCAGGACATGCTGATAGTTCTCGGTCTGGCGGCGGTGCTCCTGACCCTGCTGCATTGAACAGCGGTGCTCCTCAGCCTGCGGCAGGGAACAGCGCTGCTCCTCAGCGTGCTGCATTGAGCGGTCCTCTGCAAACGCTCGTCGAGCACGTGAAGCAGTTCGGCCGGATACCGAAGCGAAATAAAGGAACGTCCGAACAAGAACGGGCCGAAAACAAGTTGGCCAAACGTTTCTCCGACCATCGCGACCGCATCCCCAAAGACATGGTGCATGAACTGCGGGCCCTGGGCTGTGCTGATCAGCATACGGAGACCGAGGAGCTCAAGCGGAAGCAGAAGACCGAGGAGCGCATGCAGCAAAAGCGAGACAAGACCGAGGAGCTCATGCAGCAAGCGCGAGACCTCGGCCGCCACCCGAAGGAGTATGCCGGGCGTAGCCTCGCAGAGCGGCAGCTGGCAGAGAAAGTCCGGAAAGCACGGAAGGCCAACCAGTTCTCCCCGGAGCAGGGCGCCGAGCTCCAGGCCTTCAAGCAAGCGGAGAGCGAAGCCACAACAAAGACTTGCCACTGCGACTGCCACTGCGAATCCGAATGCGACTGCGAGAACACCAGAATTCTACAACAGCACTCTTACATGAATACCACAGGCAATGTTTCCAGCTATGCTTCTACACATCGCTGTTAGGTTGCTTTGCCGGGATAATTTTAGTCAGAACGCACCCTGGGAGAGGACCGGGGAGTGGCGGCGTCGGTACCTTGTCTGGTTGCCCCATGGCCAGTCTCGTTCTGCTCGGTTCCCCCCTCGGGCGCGCCGGCCAGATCGGCGCGGCCGGTGCGGGGTCCTCAGGGCGAGGGCGCTCCTCTTGCCAGCTACGCAGCTGCACGACATGGGCACTCGGAGGCCCGCGCGGATTTCTTGGGTCGTCGTTAGACCCCTCTCCCCCAGCGCGCGGAGCGCGCCAGGGGCAGCGTTGGAGGCGCCGCCCTGGAGGGGTGGGGGATCCAGCGCGCCGACCCAAGAAATCCGCGCGGACGTCCAGAAGCGCACGTTTACGACGTCGCTGGTTCCGCGGTGTGTCGCGGGGAGGGGGGGGGCCCGAAAACCGGGGCCCTTCCTGAGCCCGGATGGGTCGATGCGTCAGCGTCTTGGCCGTAAACAAACACTCGGACGCCCGCGCGGATTTCTCGGAGCTTTACTGGACACCTGGCGCGCGGAGCGTGCTTGGGGCTGCGCTGCAGGCTTCCCCACGGGGAGGGGGGTCCAGCCCCGACCCAAGAGATCTGCACGGCTCTCCGAAGGCTTACGTTTATGACGTGGCTCGTTGTTCTGAGGAGCGAGGAGGGGGAGGAGGGAAGAGCAGGCAGGAGGAATGAAGATGAGGGAGGAGGAGGAGAAGGAGAAAGAACAGAAGGAGCGAGTAAGGAAGAGGAGGAGGAGGAGGAGGATCGACGAGGAAGTCTGCCCGCTCCTGGTCATTGCGCAACCGCGGCAAAGCTACCCGAGCCGCCGGATGAGGAGGAGGAGGAGGAGGAGGAGGAGGAGGAGGTGGTGGTGGAGGAGGAGGAGGAGGATTGGGTTGGGGGGAGGGAGGAGGAGGAGGAGAAGGAGGAGCAGGATGAGTCGAGCAGGAGAGAGGAGGAGCGAGGAGGAGGAGGAGGAGGAGGAGGAGGAGGAGGAGGTGGTGGTGGAGGAGGAGGAGGAGGAGGAGGAGGAGAAAGGAGGAGGAGGAGGAGGAGGAGGGAGGAGGGCTCTGCGCGGATCTCCGAGGGCTGGTGCTCCGTGCCGTTTGTATGCTGTTCCAGCTTGCTCCGCTCGCTGCGAAGAGGGGGAAGAGACGAGGGGCAGGGGACAGGGGAACGGCCCTTGTGCAACACCCTGAGATCTCCACGGCCACATCACAGGACGCCCGGGCCCCGTCGCGGGCGGGGGGCGCGCCCACCCGCCTCAGACGCACATGATGCTCGGATCTTGCGAGTCCACCCGCCCATGGGGCCCGGGCGACCCCAGAGAGGTGCCGGATGTGGCCGCGACGCCTCCCGGCGGCCCCAGCGGCAGGGGGCGCGGCGCTGGCGCCGGCGCCGGGCCCGCCGGGACGGCGGGGCCGCAGCCGTTGTCCGCCCGCCGTTCCAGGCCGCGGAAGAGGCCGCAGTGATCGGCGCAAGCCTGCGCTTTTGCCCACGATCGGCGCAGTCGCCGCTGGCCGCGGGCAACGGCACCCCGAGAGGACTTCGACGGAATTGTAGCCAGCTGGGGGGCTGTGGTGGCCGAGCATCAGTTTTCGGTGTCGGGGGGCCGTTTGCGGGCCCCTGGACCGCTGGGAATCGATCCAGAGGGAAAACTCGCCTGGATGATGCTCGGGAGGGGCCCGGGGACAGATTCTGAGCAAATTTGCTCTCGTCCCCCTTTCTTGGTCGATCTTTTCGGGCACATCTCCTCCCCCTCTTCCCCTTCAGGCCATGGCGCAGGTCAAATCACTGTATGCAGTTCCGCTCCGCCACCGTGTCCCAGTAGCCGCCTCGCGTGGCCAAAGGGTCAGCGATAACCTGTTGTGGTGCCCTCCCCCCTTCCGCCCTCCTCTCGGTCTGGCCGCCTCCCTTCCCGTTCGTGCCTCTCGCATCTTCGCGTGCAACCTTCACGTGGGCAAGCTCGGGGACTTCACGTTTGCTTTGTCGAGCTGCATTGTCACGGGAGAAGATCTGCGACGCGAAAGCACCGATTGACAAGGCGACGCCACAGGATCCGACCGAATTCAACCCTGAACGATCGGGGGCCGCGATCGATTCAAGGTTGAAGGACCGACGCGGCGTCGACGGCCTTTGCGCGCGCCGACGCCAACACGAACCTTCCGTGCGCGGGCAGCCTCAGGCCCTGAAAACCACTTCCCTGGGATATGCGATGCCAGTCCCAGCAGGCGAAGGCGAGGACAGCGCGACCCCCACAGAGAGGCATGCCGTCATCCACCGGGTAGGAGGCAAAATTCCTGAGCGGAGCCAGTGCCGTCGGCGGCCCTTGCCGGAGAGTCTGGCACCAGGGGGGCTAAAAAACAAGCACGACGGAAGGCTCTTGGCACTTCTCGGCCTCGGGGGTCCTTCACCGTGCCCCAAGAAGGTCGAACACCAACTCAGAGTGAAAAGCCAGCCCCCCTGGAGGGGGTCCAGACCTCTCGGGAGCCACGTTGTGGAAAACTCACTCGAAGCCGGGTGCTTGGGAGGACGAGGAGGATGAGGACGGGGAGGAGGAGGAGGAGGAGGAGGAAGAGGGGGAGGAGAAGGAGGAGGACTACCGTCAAGACGCTGAGACAAGGACGAGTTCGGGCTGAGGAGGGGGGGGGCAATGGTTTTGGGTCCGTTCCTTAAACCTGGGCCCGGGATCCTGTTTGTTGCCGAGGGTTGCTGTGGCCAGAGAGCCCCTCCGTTCGTCGTGGAACATTCCTTTTTGGCAGCGCGACGCCCGTATTCCTCACGCCAGCGAACGACAGGCGAGCTTGTACTACAAACCTGGTCACAGGTGTGCTTAGTCTTCTTGCTTCAAAGCGTTGCATGTTTCGCGATGGCGGCGTATCGCGACGACCAATATTGCTATCGCGCACCTCTTCCTCCTGGACCCGTTCCTCCTTGTCGTTATCGTCCTGGGCTCGATGCCTCCGGGCGCGGGCTGGAGAAGGGAGGAGAGGGGGATATTGGGGACAAGAAGGTAACAAGAAGCGGGGCGAGTGCATGGCGTCTGTCGGGCGCGTGCGACCTCATCAGACCGACGCCGTGATTCACAAATGATGCCGGAGACAAATCCCAATCATATTATTTTTAGGGCTGTACCGGGCTCCCGGGGGAGGGGTTTGGGGAGGGGGAAGCATCTCACACGCCGTGACCACAAGAGGTCGGCGAATTGTGGGGATGTTTCAGGCGGGGCGCTAGTTTCAGCACCCTTAAGGGGAGCCGCCAGGGGGTGTTTGCACGGGCCCTTTCGCGGCCAGTTTGTGGGGATGTCTCAGGCGGTTCGCTTGTTTTGAAGCTCGTCATCATTTGTTTTCAGAGCAGATTTGGAGCATGTCTCAGGCGGGGCGCTGGCTTCAACACCGTTAAGGGCGCTGGTTTCGTTCTTTCTCTTGCTCCTCCCCTCCCTCTCCTGTGCGCTTCCTCCATGCACCTCTGTCGCGTCCTCGCTCGGGCCTCTGGGGGGCCGAGTCGGCAACGGGGGGGGTTGGCCTCAGGGGGCAGATCCAGTGACCCGCAGGACGGCAGGGCGTTCTTGGTTGAAGGCCGTCTTTGCTACACCCCGGGTGGGTGACTGGAGAAATGGCTGATGACGCAAAAGGTGGATTGCTCTGACGCCGTGCGCGGTTCCGCCGCCATTCCACAAGTCATCCTGCGAGCTGCTCTGGGAACGGCGCCAGGGAATACGTACAAATCAAGGCTCGACCGCTGCGACGTCCTCGGGGGCAAGCGTTGCCGCTGTCAGCGCTGACGCGCGTTTCCTTCGGGCGCTCGACGGACTTCTGGCATGGTTGGCGTTCGTGGGCGGAGCTTCGACTGTCGGAGCAATTTGCGCAGATCTGGGCGCGTTCGCAGCAACGGAGTTGGGCCTGTCCCCCACGGAGACCGAGGCGGCCGCATCTCAATTGCTGGACGACGGCGCCGCTTGCGAGACGATCGGTCACCATATTCATGTGTTGGCAGGGTACGCTGCTTATTCCAGCGCGACTACGAACGAAGGCGACGGCGTCAACAGTGCGCTGGGCGACGCGAGGGGCATGGCGGAGGGGGCCGACCAAGAATCCGACGCGGCACAGCTGGCAGATATGAGGTCACAGGCGTAGTGATGCGCGCTGCGCCACTTGCCCCCCGCTCCGATACCAAGTGCAGGCGGCATCTGTTTGGCGTTGCCAGCTAGGCCCGATGCCACGGCCAAAGCCGAGGCGCAAACCGCGAGGGTGCCATTTGTATGTAGCACTTGCCTTGCGCACGCCATGTGCCTACGGCTTCTGTTTGCGTTACCAGCACGGCCCGATGCGAAGTGTGGGCGGCTAAAGCTGAGGAGTTTTTCGCGAGATGCCGTTTGAAGCGCATGTCTTTCGTGCTCTTCCCTGGTGCTTCGGACGCGGTACCACTGGAGTTCTTCACTTTGGCAGGAAATGCGCTAACGTACGCGTGCGAATGAATTCTGAATGTGTACATGTGTTGAATGTACAGCCGAGCTGCGCGCGCGCGTGCTCGTCGCTCACGTGGACGCGTTCTTAGATCAACGCCATCATAAAAATATGCTCACCATCGCACTATCCTACAACATGAGATGCGCACACAGCTCATATGGCTAGACACCCACGTACAGATCCCAAAAACAATCTACCTTCTAAAGAGATCCACATATGGGGAGCTCCGCGCAGTGAGCGTTGGATGAATTCTCGCGTTGGGCAGGGCAGTGTACCCGCGCTGTCCGTGCCCAGTTTCATTTGCGGGCGTCCAAATCCATCCCAACATCGCGGATGCTCCGGCGGCGCGGCGCACTCCTCCGACCCTATTTGCTTTGCCCCCCGCTCGGTCAGTTTGCAATTCCTGTGAGATTTGATTCAGAACCGGGGCTGTATCCGCCGTCGAAAACCTTCTGGGTCCGACCTAATCTGGTTCCATCGGGCTGAATCGGGTTCGATCTAGCTCGATCGGGCTGAGTCCTGGGCCCAATCTGGGTCATTCCGGCTCAGTGGCCCCTTAGCTGACCTGAATCGCTCTGCGTCGTTTTTACGAAGATCTCCCAGGAGTTGTTTCCTGACGGTTCGGGCGGCCTCAAGCTCCTTCCGCGCTCACCGCCACGCACGCCAGGAGCTCTTCGACGGTCCCATGGACCCTGGGGTATCCCCGCCCGCGCTCTTTCCCCTCGCCTTCCCCCCCGCCTTCTGGCAGGGGGCGCAGGGGTGGGCCGACAGTCAGTGAGCACGGGGCCTTTTGGAAGTTGAAGGCCTCCTTAAAGGTCCCAAGGCGCCTAAGATGGCCTCGCAGAAGCAGGGATCACTTCGACTCCTCCGACCAGTTTCGATTCGATGTCGATCGGTTCCGGCTCCGATTCGATTCGGCTTCGGGTTCCGGTTCGGATTTCGGTTTTTCAACGGAGGCTTCCCAGCTTGCCGATTGCCGCCGGCTTTTCCTGTTTGACTGCCGATTTTCGCCGATTCGATCTGCGCTTTCCTGCAGAAGCTGTGATCGGAGGTCCTTTGCCGTTTCCCGAGAGGGCCCTGCGGTGGCAATGTTTCTGGGCTTGCGCCCGTTGTTCGTCGTTCACTCCAGGGTGTTTTGCTAAACTGGGCTCTGTCCACCCTTGATGGGCAGAATTCCCAGTATCGAGGAAGCGCAAGCAGTCGAAGACGGAAAAACGCATTAAATATGAATTGTGGAAACTTTGCGTGGATTTCCGGGATCGGCGCCTGGGACCCCCTTGCGGCGCCGCCCCTGGCGCGCTCCGCGCGCCAGTGAGGGGGGTCCATCGCAGATCCAAGAATCCCACGCGGACCGTGGACAGTGTATGTTTTTGCCGCTGCCGGGTCCTCCAAGCCTGGATCAGGACAACCTGCATCCGTGCCAAGGCCCAGCTCCCGTGCGGAATCGGCCCGCCCCGTCGCCAGATGCGGCGGCCCTGGGTTCGTTTTCGTGCCCTCTCCGATCCACTCATCGGGCGCCCGCGCGCCAGACCCGCGGAGACCCCCCGTCCGTGCTGGCAGGCGCCCCGGAGCAGCCCACCCCCTGCCTTCGTCGAGGCCCTCGCCTGGCGTCTTGGGAGGCCGCCCGTCTCGCGGTGCCCTCCGTGCGCGCCGCTCCGGGGGATTTGCGCGGGCCTCCGAAAGCGCACGTTTCTGCTCAAGTCGGGCATGTCCCTCTACAGGAGGAGTGTTCAGACATGGTTTAAACACACAACACGGTATCGATGTTTCGATGGCGTGTTGGCACGTGTTGCATATGGTTTGGGTATTTTTGTTATTCTTCGCCCGGAATCCGCCTGCCCTCAGCGACATCGGCAAGGCGTGTCCAGCGTCTTCAGAGAACCTGTTTCTGAACCGCAGAATGCCGACCATGGGCCGCCCGAGTGCCATGCCAGGTCGCGTGCCGCGCCATGCCTGAAGCCTAGATGCGGAAATGGCCGTGCCGTGCCCGTGCCGTGCCTGAAGCCTAGAGTGCGGGAAAAATGCCGTGTCTTGCCCGCGTGCCGTGCGCGTAAAGCGCCGTGCTTGAATCCGAAATTGCGAAGGCGGTGCCGCGCGGTGCCAGCGCCACAATCCCAGACTTCCAGATTGCGAATACGGTGCCGTGTCCGTTTCGTGCCTAGTTGTCAATGTTTTCTCGTGCAGCGTTGATGTTTAGGGCCTCCATGCCAGTGTAGCTGCTCTTCCAGGAGAGGTGCGAGGAGCGAGGGGCCAACCCAGATATCCAACGCCCTGAAACAAGGAGCACGACGGATGTGTTCCGTCGTTTTCGGCCTCAGGTGGGCCTCGCCTGGCTCTGGAACAGTCAAGCAGTGGCTCGGGATGAACAACGGCCTTGGGGAAAGGGCCAGCACTTCCGGGGACCCCGCATCGAACAAAGTCAAGACATCGGTTCTCTTGGAGGCCAAACCGCCGGCGTCGTGACCTTATACTTGTGTGTGTGTGTGTGTGTGTGTGTGTGTGTGTGTGTGTGTGTGTGTGTGTGTGTGTGTGTGTGTGTGTGTGTGTGTGTGTGTGTGTGTGTGTGTGTGTGTGTGTGTGTGTGTGTGTGTGTGTGTGTGTGTGTGTGTGTGTGTGTGTGTGTGTGTGTGTGTGTGTGTGTGTGTGTGTGTGTGTGTGTGTGTGTGTGTGTGTGTGTGTGTGTGTGTGTGTGTGTGTGTGTGTGTGTGTGTGTGTGTGTGTGTGTGTGTGTGTGTGTGTGTGTGTGTGTGTGTGTGTGTGTGTGTGTGTGTGTGTGTGTGTGTGTGTGTGTGTGTGTGTGTGTGTGTGTGTGTGTGTGTGTGCGTGCGTGCGTGCGTGCGTGCGTGCGTGCGTGCGTGCGTGCGTGCGTGCGTGCGTGCGTGCGTGCGTGCGTGCGTGCGTGCGTGCGTGCGTGCGTGCGTGCGTGCGTGCGTGCGTGCGTGCGTGCGTGCGTGCGTGCGTGCGTGCGTGCGTGCGTGCGTGCGTGCGTGCGTGCGTGCGTGCGTGCGTGCGTGCGTGCGTGCGTGCGTGTGTGTGTGTGTGTGTGCGTGTGTGTCTGTGTTTCTGTGTCAGCTCAGCTTCCCTTGACACGTTCGGGGCCCAGAGCTATCAGAAGTGGATTCGGGACGAACCCCCCAAGGGGCCGAGGGGCTGAAGCCGCGAACTGAAAAAATCAAGTCGTCGGATGTCTGGGCAGGAGGGAAGGGGGAAGATATTGTAGCGAGGAAGGAGGAGGGAGGGAGGAGGGAGGAGGATTTCGGAGCGAGGAGGGAGGAGAAGGAGGAGGAGGAGGTGGAGGTGAAGGGACGTCCGCAGAAGGAAGTCACACACCACCGCCATCCCTGTCAAGGTCCATCCATCCTAGGGCCCAGGTTGGCCCTTGCCAGGGATGGCGTCTGCGGGGACGAGGAGGAGTTGGAGGAAGAGGAGAGGAAAGACGAAGAGGTATAGAAAGGAGCAGGGAGAAGAGAGGAAGACAGGGAGTGAGGAGAAAGATGAGGGAGGATGTGGAGGTAGAGGAGGAGGAGGAGGAGGAGGAGGAGGAGGAGGAGGAGGAGGAGGAGGAGGAGGAGGAGGAGAGGGAGAAGACGGTGGAGTGGGGAGTGGGAGAGGGGAGGCGGGAGAAGTAGAGAGATCGGATCCGAAAGGGGGGACAGGAACGGAGAGGAGGGGTGGGGGAGAGGGAGAGCAGAGCAGCAAGTTGAGGGATGGCCTTCCATTCGAGGCAGCACCCATCATTCATCTACACAGGCCTTGTCAGCGACAGTCTCGGCCGCAAACAGTGTAACCACCAACCCCTGCAGGCATCCCCTTGGAATGTTGTATCGGCCTCTAGGTTGAGGGGTGCCTCGAGAGATCTACGCTGACTCGAGAACCCCAGCTCTCTTATTTGAGGACCCGTTGCCTCTGGCATGAGATTCATCAACTTCCCTCTTCCATGTTCTCTCCGAATGGCTGCAGCGTGTTCACGGACGGGAATAGTTCATTTGCTCCGCATACCCCCCACCTCGCATACGCCTGCACCCTCGCGTGGCTCCGCATTATCCTCGTCCCCATCTTCAGGATCCAGCATCAAAACAACTGATCCAGTGCCCTCCAGTTCTTTCCTGCCCGTCACGGGCAGCTTTGGAACAGGTGGTCGGAGGACCATGTTAACAGGTAGCGGTTTCCACTTACATGTTCTTCGCCTTGCTGCTTACAGGGACCACCCACCCTGAAAGGCGGTCTGCGGATCCACTAATATCCTCATCCCCTTCCCCCTCCGCCGCGCGACACGCCGCGTGAAGGTCTTCTACGTGTTCGCGAGGGAGTACTTCAGTTCCATTAGTCGCGCGCTGACCATGGACATAGACGCGCTCCCCCCCGCTGGCCCGTCGTAGGCGAGCGGTGCGCCACTGCGTGGACGGCGGGGAAATAGCCACGCGAGCTCTCTGCTCTTTGTGGGGGCCTCGGATTGGTACGCCGATTTTGATACGGAGGTCACTGGCAAAGGTTGGTACGCCATCAGTGATGGTGCACGTATGATTCTGGACCTCAGCGGACGCGCGCCTGGGCCCGCGAAAGGCAGTTGCACGTGCGTGCAACATGAGGCGCACTGACGTGCACGATGGGCCCGCGCCGGGGCGCGCACGCGGCGCATCTCTGTGCGCGCGCCCGCTCTCCGTGCCCACTGTGGATCGGCGGCGAGCGAAGGGGGGGAGCGAGAAGGCGGTGGGGCTTCTCAGAAGGCGGTGAGGCTCTTCAGTAGCCCTTCGGCCTTCTGATAGATTTCCTGCGTCTCCGGGGAAGGCTCGGACAACTCCTCGGAAGGTTGGGAGGACCTCCGAGCCTTCTGAGGAGGCCCGCCCTCTCTCGAGGGAAGAGCGGTGACCACGACCAGGATGTCGCAGGACCTTGTCGATGCGATCTCGGTCATGGCCCATGCCAGCCGCTGCCGGTTCGTGAGGATGGTTCACGAACTGACGCTGACCAAGATGGACGGTGACCGAGATCGATGCGAAGTTCCCGCGCCTAGTCAGCCTAGTCTTGGTCCTGGTCCCCGCGCTCTTCCCCTCCACTCCCTCCGTTCCCCCACCGGGCTGGCCGCCACGTGGACGGCCGAGGTCCTCAGCCTGGACAGCAGCACCCTCAGTGACACGTACCGCCCCGTGGGCCTCTCGGTCGGCTCCACGAAGGAGGGCCCCGCCGCCGCGTTGCGGAAGCGCACGCCCGCCCGCCCCGGCAGGGGGCCGGAAGGGGGCAGGTCGGCTGCCCGTATCGGGCGGGCGGTGATGTCTAGGCCCTGGATGGGGTCCGAGTAGACGGGGCGGGAGGATCGCGCCGCATCGCCGATGCGGCTCGATGTGGAGCCCGTGTATCCCCACGCCGACGTCGCCGATGCATCGCCGACGTCGCCGATGCATCGCCAGTGCATCTCCGATGCATCGCTCATGCATCAAAGATGCGGCGCGATCCTTCGAATATACTCCGACCCCATCCAGGAGGCCTCTATAATGGGGGGGGTCAGTGGGGGGGTGAACCAGAAAATCCTACAGGGCCCCTTTTGGAGCCAGCAGGGGCGAATTTAGGGCCCTTTTCTTCGCCCTAAGGTTTAGGTCAACCCCCCATTTCCACCCGCCCGACCTTTGCTGGAGTGATCTTTGGTGCGCGACTCTCTGGAGGCGAGGGCGTCAGAAGGGGGATAGGGCCAGGCGCATGGTGGGGGGAAGCACCGACGCCCAATCGCCGATAGGGGCCCGGTAGCCCACAAACATTCAGTTTCGCTATGTGGGACCCAACGCCGATCTATCGGCGATGTACCGCGCCGGCTCCAGCTCGATGTTCCCGCCCTGGCGTTCCCCCTCGGGGGGAAGCCAAGCCAGAGCGCGGAGGCCGCTGCTGTCGCACTGCGCGCAACGATCGGCAAGCCGCGCGCCAAAGGTCGCCGTTGCCCAGGGTCACCTTCTGCGCGCAGCCGAGGGGGGGCCGACGAGGCGGCAGCCCGGGCGGGAGAGCGGGCAGCGGGGAGCGCGCAGGAGGGGCAGCGGAGGCCCGTGCCGCGCCCTCGGGGGCCGACCTCCGGAGGGCCTCGGGGTGGGCAGGGGCGTCCTCGATGCCGTTTCTGGGGGGTCCGCCGATAGCCCGCGTGATCGGGCCCGCACCACTCCTCCTCCTCCTCCTCCTCCTCCTCCTCCTCCTCCTCCTCCTCCTCCTCCTCCTCCTCCTCCTCCTCTCCTATGCTGCAGGGTGCTGACCTCGCCCCGCCTGGTCCTGCGCTCGCGATTCTTGCCTCTGCCGCTGCGTGCCCCCCTCCCGCTCCCTCTCCCCACGTTGCCTCGGTTGACAGTGCGGCTCTCCGCTCTCGTGCGTCTGCCATTCTTCCCCCTGCCATCTGGACGCCTCCTTCAGCTCGTCCGAGTTGTCTGCCGCCGCGGCCGCTGCGCGTGCATCCTCCGCTGTCGCTGCTGACACTACCAGAGGAGGCCACGGGGTCTCTAGCCGTTGTTGGTGACGACGTTGCCCCCTCTACGCTCGTTTCCTCCTCCTCCTCCTTCTCCACCTCCTTCTCCTCCTCTTCCTCCTCTCCCCCCTCCTCTCCCCCTTTCTGCCCCCCCTTCCCAATTTCTAATGTACTGTTCCCTGTCTGGTTGTTCTACCAGGGATCTGCGGAGAGTTATCCAGGTAGGGCCAGCTGTGAGCACACGTTGACCGTCATTCCACAGTTGCACCACCACCACTCCACCACCTCCCTCCCAGACAACATGATCTTGTCCGTTGCGCATGTCCGAATTGGGGTGCACGGGTGTTGTACGCAGTACTGGTGCGCACAGGCATACGTTGGACTGCCCAAGGCAAAAAGGCCAGGCGATCGGCGCACAACATTTCTTCCCCCACATGGATACCACGCGCTATCGCAGGACATGTTAGACATATTCACTGCATGGAGCCCCCATGTGTGCATCTGTTTGCGCGGACCGTGCCCCCGTGAGTGTCTGGGCGCAAGCGGCTTCGAGTATAAGCGAACTCAAGTATTGACAGACCGGGAATGAGTCTCAGGGTGAATGAATTCGAGCGCGAACGAGACTCAGTAGAACGAGCGGGCTTGTGCGCGTGAGTTCGGATATGTCTTAGCTTAGGATGAGTGCATCTGCGCGTCAGTGGCTTGAGCATGACCGAGCGGAACCGAGTCGACATGGCAACGCGATCCCTCTCTCCACGATGAAGCAAGGAGCACTGATGTTCATGCAAGCGCCGTGGAAGACCCTTGGACTTCGTTCGGTGGCACAGGAGGCCTTACGCAGTGGCCCACGCAAACATCTCACGCGACACACCACGTGGCAGAGAGAGGGTTCGATCAAGGCTCTACAGTCGGGGCGCTGAAGAAGGAACCCTTTGTCATTTGGGAGGGGCTCCGTGCTCCTTAGTTCCCAGCCATCCTGTGGTGTTGGGTTCCCGTTTTGAAGATACGGTCTCCGCGTTCCTCTTCTCCTCTCCTCCTCATCCCCCTCCTCCCCTCCCCACCCACCCAGTACAGGGCTTCGTGGCCCCATAGAGAGCTCGACCGAAGGTCCCACTGGCACCGCCCGCATGCGTCCGCCACCACCCAGCACAGCCCTTGCTCCCTGCGTTTCAGGGAACTCCACCGAAGGTCCCAGTGGCACCGCCCGCATGCGTCCGCCACCACCCAGTACAGCCATTGTTCTCTTCGTTTCACCCACCCAGTACAGCGCTTCGTGGCCCCATAGGGGGGCCCCACCGAAGGTCCCAGTGGCACCGCCCGCATGCGTCCGCCACCAAGCAGCACAGCCCTTGCTCCCTGCGTTCCACCCACCCAGTACAGCGCTTCGTGGCCCCATAGGAGGCCCCACCGAAGGTCCCAGTGGCACTGCCCGCATGCGTCTGCCACCACCCAGCACAGCCTTTGCTCCTTTCGTTCCACCCAATCAGTACAGCGCTTCGTGGCCCGGCTCCACCGAAGGTCCCAGTGGCACCGACCGCTTGCGTCCGCCACCACCCAGCACAGCCCTTGCTCCCAGCGTTCCACTTACCCAGCACAGCGCTTCGTGGCCCCATAAACGGAACTCCACCGAAGGTCCCAGTGCCACTGCCCGCATGCGCCCGCCACCATCCAATACAGCTTTTGCTCCCTGCGTTTCACCCACCCAGTACAGCGCTTCGTGGTCCCATAGGGGGCTCCACCGAAGGTCCCAGTGGCACCGCCCGCATGCGTCCGCCACCAAGCAACACAGCCCTTGTTCCCTGCGCTTCACCCGCCCAGTACAGCGCTTCGTGGCCCCATAGGGGGCTCCACCGAAGGTCCCAGTGGCACCGCCCGCATGCGTCCGACACCACCCAACACAGCCCTTGCTCCTTGCGTTTCACCCACCCAGTACAGCGCTTCGTGGCACCATAGGGGGCTCCACCGAAGGTCCCAGTGGCACCGCCCGCATGCGTCCGCCACCACCCAGCACAGCCATTGCTCCCGGCGCTTCACCCACCCAGCACAACGCTTCGTCGCCCCATTGGGAGCTCCACCGAAGGTCCCAAAGGCACCGCACGCATGCGTCCGCCACCACCCAACACGGCCCTTGTTCCCTACGTTTCGCCCACAGTACAGCGCTTCGTGGCCCCATGAGGGGGCTCCACCGAAGGTCCCAGTGGCACTGCCCGCATGCGTCTGCCACCACCCAGCACAGCCTTTGCTCCTTGCGTTTCACCCACCCAGTACAACGCTTCGTGGGTCCATAGGGCCATAGGGAGCTTCACCGAAGGTCCCCGTGGCACCGCCCGCATGCGTCCGCCACCACCCAACACGGCCCTTGCTCCTTGCGTTTCACCCACCCAGTACAGCGCTTCGTGGCCCCATAGGGAGCGCCACCGAAGAAGATATTCCGAAATTGCGGTACTCGGAACTGCATATGCTTGGGTTTTTCGCCAGGCTAATTGTTTTGTTTGTCTTGTGCTGGTTGTCCTGATATTTGTTTCGGAAATCGGAGCTTAACGTATGGGGAAAAAGGGGCCTCGTTTCTTACTTAGGGTGCTTTGGGTCCACGCCCCAACTGTGTGCTGGAAGCTCACGCGCCAACGTCCCGTTGGCGGAGCGGCCTGCGGCCACCCAGGCAGGAACACGTCGTCGGCACATGCCGTCGGGCCATGCCGTCCGCACCTGACATCGGGCTCGATGAGCCAGGCGACTATCTATCGGGGGCGGCAAAGACGGGGGTGATGACTAGGGGGGATACCATGGCGGGGGCCACGCTATCTCCCCAGATGTCATGGCGCCTTCTCTTATTTCATTGCGTCCCTGCCCCCCCCCGCTGGGCCGCGCACGTGCCGCTGGTCATGATTTGCACCCCCCCCTCGTGGACACCCCCCTTGGCCGCTCCCGAATACACACTTG